AACGAAACCGAAGGTTTGATTGGATGGATGGATGGATGGGAGGTGCTGCTGACTTTGGAAGACGGACGGACGTACGGACGTAACTGCCTAATAGTTGGCCGATACAAACGAGCTGGGTGGATTGAAACGGACCATAGCTAAATTGATCAGCTGGGTATATCAACGTGCTCTCTCGGTGACAACTAGAGAAGGAACTACCGAAATGTATATATATAATATGGGCCCAAACAACGCCCAGTTAATTGCCAGCCAGACAGCTTAGTTTTAGTTATGGAACTTGCCTGTTAAGCTTTCCATCAGTAGCAGCGGCAGCGGCGGAATGATGATGTTCACGGCATCCGTGTGCAGTGCAGCAGCATTTGCGTTGTTTGGCTTTATGTTATGTATGCAGTGTGCAGCAGTGCACGGGCCTGGTCGCTTCACCTCCGAGCCCTCTCCTCCCTCGTTATTGCAGTGCAGTGCAGTGCAGTGCATCCAATTTCAAGAGAATTCAAAGGCCTGTCACACAACGGATCCACGACCTTTTCCCCTCTCCACAACGCTCCTCTCCTCCCCTCTCCTCTCCTCCAACAACAAGCTAGGGAAAGGCCCCAAGGCAAACGCAGCCCGTTGTACAGAGAAAAAAGAGGGCAGTGCAGGGCCGGGGCGGGCGCGTGAGGAAGGGAAGACGACGACGGAGGGGGGAAGAGGAAGACGACCAAGTGCTTGCTTCCTGCTCCTCCGCTCCCTGCAGTCTCTGACGAGGTTAGTACGACCTGCACCTCCTCTCCCTCGGGCCTCCGCCGCATTCCTCCTCCACATCTGCCGGCCATGGCCTCACCGACGAATCGAATGGAATTCCCCTGCGCCTGCGGCCTGCCCTCACCGGCTCCCCGTCTGGGTGGGAGAGGGAGACTGGCCGGCGGGGCTGTGTGTGTGTCTTGTGTGTGTGAGCTAGCTTCCCATCATCCCAGCCTTGCTCACAGTTTTACTAGTACTAACTACTCAATCCCATGTGTGGAAGAAACGAAACACCACCTGCCTGTTCTCCTCTTGGATAATCACAGGCAGTGAGGCAGGACCCACTCCACTACACAGGGGAGCCATCACTCGTGTCATGTTCACGTCGGCCTCTCATCCACTTCTCCCCTGCGCCCTGCCTGCCCCTCGTCGTCGACGTCGACGACAACCAAATTCAGGGCCAGCCGGCCAGGGCCATTCCTTTCGCCCACCCATCTCCCTCCCTCCCGGTGCCCACCATCCCAATACCAACAGCGCTGCGCCTGCGCTGCTGGATGGATGGATGGAATTCATTCCTTTTCCAGATCCCATCTCCGCCACTGATCAGAACAAAGCAGAATGAGCACCGGAGCAGAGGAGAGCAGCAAGGAAAGGAGATACTACACTGGATGCCTTTCTGGTCCGGCCGCCCGGCCTTTTGCTTCTCCCCTCCCGTCGTGTCGTCTCTGACAGAATGATGCTCACATGCGTTCCTTCGTCTGCCCCCTGTCTCTTTCCCCGATGCGGCCGCGGGATAAGAACCATTCGACCTCTGCACAGTCTGCTACCGCTACTAGTTTAATGTCTTCGAGGTCGAGGAGATGTGGTAGTATGGTAACTTTCGTTTGTACGTATTCATTCAATGCATTCGCAAAAGAAGAAAAAAAAAGTCTCGTTTAAATACAGGACCTAAAGTTATAGATATCACATTATATGGGGCGTCGCATAGAGTGTTTGGATGCTAATAAAAAAATAAATTACAGAATTCGTTAATAATCCGCTGAGACGAATTTATTAAGCCTAATTAATTCATCATTAACACATGTGTTATTATAGCACCATATTATCAAATCATATACTAATTAGGCTTGGTAAACTACGTAATTAGTTATTTTTAAGTCTATATTTAATACTCCATGTATATTTAAATATTTAATGTAATAAGAAGTAAACTTTTGAGAAGAAACTAAACCATGACCTGCTCCTAGATAAACAACCCTTCTTTTTACCTCTCCAATGCGGTCAGGTCAGTTGCTGACCCACAGCCACAGGTAACTGCATTTTCCTCAGCATTTGCTGCCTTTCACATGTCCCACCGTCCAAGGTTGACTCGGATCAATACATAAAACATTGGTGAATTCAATTCTCTGCCATCGATCGAGGTGCTTCAATTTAGTTCCTGACATCGATCTTGCAGATACATGTATGGAGGTTGATGAAATTTCTAATTTACTTTGATTGTACTTCCGTTTCTTTTAGTCTCTTTCTTTATTACTCTTTCGCTGTGCTGATTTCTTGGCAAAAAAAAAAAAACGCGGCCTCAGTTTCCTTCCTTCCTTTCTTTTCTCTCTTTCTTTAACTCTTGCTGTTCCCGCTTGGCAAAAAAAAAAAAAAAAAAAGAGCATTCTCAGTCCTCTACCTGTTTTGCCACTAAAAATGCATACATACCAGTAGTTAGACTTAGACAAAACAAAGGGAAGCAAGGTGCGTCATCCTCTTCATTTTAATATCCCCAAAACCTACCGAACTCTGCTCAAACTGGAAAGAAGAAGAAGAAAGGGGTAGCCAGGCAGGGAAGGCCAGGGCAAGAGAGACGCACCTGCTGATGCCATCCCGCCTCTCTCCACGTCTGCAAAATAAGCTGAATTTTTGCATGCCGTAGCGTAGCTGGTCATCGATCCTGCTACTCATTCCAATCAAGATCATCCAAAACTCGACGTTACACTACGTGTACGTACGTGTCAGGTACCATGTCCCCGTTCTGCATTGTAGAAAAAGGTCTCCCCTCCTTTGAAAAAAAGGGAGTATCGCCAGGTAGCGCCGTAGCGGCACATGCCGACGTTTTCTTCTTCTTCTTCTTTTTTTTTCTCCGTTGTTGTTACATTATCATTTTCTTTCTGTGGTGCTCTCATCTTCACCTACCCTGCTTGTCCTTAACCGTCACGACCCCCAATTAAACAATGTGTTGGCTTAGTGCGATGCGAGCTCTATGTTAATACTCTTTGTGATTGTGATGTCGGTGGCCAGAAATACTAGAAAAAAGGCAGCTTAGCATTTCGTTTCATCTATCTGAAGATTGGGTCTTCATGATATAATAAGGGCTTACAAAGTGCAGAGAGCTCCCGCTCTGTGTGGGGTCTGGAGAAGGACGTTAGTGGCAAGCCTTACCCTTGCCTGTGCAATACGAGGAGACCGTGACTCGAACCCAGGACCTTCCGGTCACAGGCGATAAGACTCTACCGCTTGCACCAGACCCGCCCTTTATGATATAGCACTGCTTCTATTCTGGGGAAAAAAGTGAAATTTCGAGTATATAGAGATCATGGAGGCCCAGCTACTTGGTCAATTTACTTACTCTAACCCAAGAATCTATTCATGTATTGTGATCCATGACGAGAAAAAAATTGTTGTTGTTATTATGTCTAAGATCTTGATCTACACAAATATATTACATGTCTAGGATACAATGCATTGATGTGTATCTTGCAACTACTTTAGCATTCAACGATTTTTTGGATGGATCGGGTCACCAAAAAGGATTTTAAATTAGGAGCAACCACCAAGGCACTTCCAAGGGAGCAGCTTATTTTAAGCTCTAGCCACTACTAGCCTGCTGTAGGTAGTCGCAGAGGGCACATCCACAGGCGTACATTTGGAGATGGGACGCAACTATCAGATTAAACGACATTTTGAAATCTCTCTCATACGTTCTTGACCGACATAATCCAGTGACTGGAATTGAGTTTGCATCTTGTGATTGTGATCATTAGTCCAAATCGTTATCGCTTGCAGAGGTCGCTGAAGACCCTGATTAACTCCAGAGTTGGCATCTGTCACTCACACCCGACATTACAGGCCAGATGTCATTTTAAGTTATAATCCAGTGTTCAATGCCCCAAATAGAACATTGCACCTAAGTACAGCCAATCTCTTTCAAGGACTACGTCTTCTTTTTCCCTACTGCACATATAGTGCTGTAGGTTGAGCTGTCTCCTATCTTGCAAGCTACTGCATCGAGTGTGCTAGTATTTTCCTTTTGAAAGCAAGCATACATTTGTCAAACTATTGTTGATAGCTTCTGCCAATTCATTGGAACTGCCTGCATTGCATATAAGCTGCCTTCTTTATCTATCAGTTCTTAGACTCCATCTCTCCCCCACCTATCATCTTTCGCGCCTCTTTGATTCTACTTTCAGACCAGGATACTTGTCGTTTTTTTCTGTCTGAAGCAATTTAAATTAGTTTTTTTTCTTGTACTTTTAACAGATTTGGAGATCATGTGTCATATGTTTTGAAGAACTATGGTATGTGATTAGCATCAATGTGATCCATTTAAAGCAGAAGATTGTGCATCCATTTTTCCTGGTTGCTATCACTTGTTGATCTATCATCTAGTAGGATTTGTTGTTTTGCTAATGATGAGTTGTGCATAGTTAATTTGTATCCATTATTTTCTGTTTATCTATTCCCATAGACATATTTTGATACAGTTAGTCAACCATGTACTTGTTTAATATCAAATCATGATGAGACTTGTTCAGTGTGCTCTGCATGTATTTTGGTGGTGTTTTCCATTCCATTCCATTTTGGTCAGCACTCAGCAGTCAATGGTTTCAAACATGCCAATTCTTACTTTTCCATCATTATTTTCAGAGCTTGCTCTAGATGGGACACATGAAACTTCTCGTGGCCTCCCTCAGCTGTGTTCTTCTGATGCAAGCAGCATCATGTGGTAAGTTCTACAGTCCTCATGAATATACTTCTATTTTCAAAGCTGTCGTGACAAAATGTTCATAAAAATGACGAAAGGAAACAATATCTGATACACATACACTAGCTGTTGTTCAGATGGCACCACGGGCGAAACCGAAACGACAAACTGGACATGTGTATGCGCAGCTCATCCGCTAGGTGAACCAAACTCTAACAGCAGCCTATTGTCCAATTGCTCTTCGTCCTGCCATTGTCAACAAGGTAAGGGCAGTCCATCATATAGCTTCTCAACATCTCATTACACGACAATGGCACCTGAATTGGGTGTTGTGGCAGATGAAAATGGCGGCACAGGGTCATGGAACTGCACATGTGCCTCTGATAAGGACCTTCAGAAAGAAGAACATGCTGTGCTACGTGCCAGGAGTTGCTTCACTTCCTGTAACTGCACATCTGGTATGTGATAATTTCTTGTTTAACTATTCAGAATTTCAGATACATGAACTCCATTATGGACTAAAATGCTCAACTGAAACTGGGGTTGCTGAATATGGTCTCCATTATAACTTCAGGAAGTTCAGAGGAAGGAAAAGGCATGTCTCCAGCAAAACAGTCATAATTACGCTCCTAGTTTGTGTGATTCTCACCACTACTGCTTTCCTTGTCACCACCGTATACTACTTCCGCCGCAAGGATGCTCTCTCTCCACGATCGCAGATATACTCCTTCGATAAATACACTAGCTGGAGCAGCAGATCGAACCTTGTCAGCAATCGATCGTCTCCACTTCCCCAAATGAAACCGAAACCGAGGCTTGGTGTTTTAAAAGGCAAGCTTAACCTATGCATTTTCCCTATCTGAAATTTGAGATGTGCTGCTTGACTGAAATTGCCTGAGATCGGTGCCATGTGTTTGTTTGAGGACAGTGCATAGCCACACCCTGACTCTTGTTTCAACTTCCTGCTGCAGAGTTTCTGTGTAACTGCAATCTCATATGTGGTGGTGAAAGCGGCACATTCCCTGGTGTCATCATCCGGTTTTCATACGCAGAGTTGGAGCAAGCAACCGGGAAATTCTCAGACGAGCATCTTATCGGAGTTGGCGGATCGAGCAAGGTGTACCGAGGCCAGCTTGGCGATGGCAAGGTTGTTGCCGTGAAGAAGCTAAGGCCCCTAGGAGGTGCAGACGAAGACTTTGAATTCCTGTCAGAGGTACGCAATGCTGCAGACACCAAATTAAAGCAGCAATCTTGCATATGCAATCCTTGCAATTCCTTCTCTCATTTCCGACGTGTGATGATGCGTAGATCGAGCTGCTGTCGAGGCTGAACCACTGCCACGTGGTGCCATTGCTTGGGTACTGCTCGGAGAGCCAGGGCCGGCAGCTGGAGCGGCTGCTGGTGTTCGAGTGCATGTCCAATGGCAACCTGAGGGACTGCCTGGACCTGAAGCAAGGGAGGAAGCCCATGGACTGGCAGACCAGGGTGAGCATCGCTCTCGGCGCCGCAAGGGGGCTGGAGTACCTCCACGAGGCGGCCGCGCCGCGTATCCTCCACCGCGACATCAAGTCCACCAACATCCTCCTGGATGACAAGTTCAGAGCCAAGGTCAGTGGCTTGTTACTGATTCAGGCTTGCTACTGAATGCTGCAGATTATATATTGTGCTGAGATTTTGATTCTTGTGATTGGGTGCAGATCATTGACCTTGGCATGGCCAAGTGCCTGATGAACGACGGCGTGACGAGCTGCTCGAGCTCCCCGGCGCGGATGCTGGGCACGTTCGGGTACTTCGCGCCGGAGTACGCCATCGTGGGCAAGGCGTCGCTCAAGTCGGACGTGTTCAGCTTCGGCGTCGTCGTGCTGGAGCTCATCACCGGGAGGCAGCCCATCCACAAGTCGTCGTCGACGAGGGCCGACGAGAGCCTCGTCATCTGGGTGCGTACCATAGCGTAGCTCACGACACGAGCTGCTGGTTCGTTACAGGATCAAATGATGAAAGATGGCAATAATGGGCGTGTAGGCGACGTCGCGGCTGCGGGACAGCAGGCTGGTGGTGACGGAGCTGCCGGACCCGACGCTGCAGGGCAAGTTCCCGGCGGAGGAGATGCAGATCATGGCGCACCTGGCGCGGGAGTGCCTGCAGTGGGACCCCGAGGCCAGGCCCACAATGACAGAGGTCGTGCACATCCTCGCCACCATCGCGCCACTCCAGCAGGGCGCCAAGCGCCGAAACCTCCCCATCGCCGCCGCCTTCAACCTCACGGTCAGACTCCTTCTCCCATCCCAGCCACGTACATCTCTTGCCAGCGCTACGCATGGCTGCTGCCATGGCGCGCGCGCGCGCGCCTCAGGCGTTCTGAGTTCTGACATGGCACTCAACTCTGCAGCCGTCGCCGCACGGCGGAAGGTGTGACCCGGGGCCTAAGGACGACGACGACATCGAGAGGCAGCTGCGGCAGGAGTGCTCGCCGATGACGGCTGCCCAGTCGCAACAGCAAGCGCGCCGCCCACCGGCGCCGTCGCCGCCACCGGGCCGCGCGTCGTGGCCCGGCGACAGGGTGAACTTTGTGGGCAGAGGCGCGGTGGTGTCGGGCGAGCTGGTGGACGGGACGCTGCTGATGAGTCCCCACGGCCACGGGCGGAGCAGCTGGCGGCCACCACCGCCACCGACGCCCGGCGACGAGGAGGAGGCGGTGGACGTGGACCTGACGGAGCCTCGGATGGAGGCGTTCACGCAGCCGGCGGCGTTCAGATGACGAGAGGATTGGCAGGATCAGGAGGAGATGGTTGTGGTTCTGATTGGTGCAGCGGCGGCGGGTGCTGTTCATCTTCTTGTTCATGCCTCTCCACGAACCCAGTCCACACCTTCATCTCAGCATCTGCATGACTGCATCCATGAATGTACAGTACAGGAAAACACATCTAGATCGACAAAGGGAAAAGAAATGGTGTTGAGATCGTTGTGGGATAGGGATATAGGATAGGTTGAACACGAGATCAATGCCGATAGGAGGGATGGCAGTCCTCCATGTCTGAATCTGAACTGAATCCACAGCGCACGCGAGATAGATATCCAACAACACTGGATCTCCAGCGATTGTAAGTTTGTCAGGAAAGTAGATGTGCAACATGGATTCTGTTAAACGGCGGAGCCATGAATTAATTAAATTTAGGGGGGCGAACAAAGGCAGTATAAACATCTTATATACGTACTAATAAAGATCATCGAGAGAGAGTGTTGATACTGAATTACATGTGTTGCGTCATTACTCATTAGACACATCACTGATGTACACAGACAAAAAAAAAATATATGAGTGGCGTTCAGAAGGTTTGGTTGGAAACTGATTGTCAAGAGCTGGTGCGCCTGTGGAACAAAGATACCGATCATCGGCTGTGGTTTCGGTCTTGAGGGAGATCCAGGATTTGAGCTTATGCTTTCAAGCTTTTAAAATGTCTTTCATTAGTCGGAAATGTAATATGGTAGCTCATACTTTGGCAAAGCAGGTCACAGGTGATGCACAGTCTGAGTTGTAATCCTGACTTGCATTGAGAACCTGATGATCGCAGATTGTAATCCTGGAACTGCTTGATGAATGAATCTCCCCAGTCGCAAAAAAAAAAAAAAAGATCAAAGATTCACATCACAGAAGCAAAGTGGAGAAGGCTACCCAGCACGCCCCTAACTTCAGCCTGTGCAACGCTAGAGTGCATAGTTGAGATGGAAGAAAATGTGCGTAACCCCATGGCTTTTTTTTTCTCTCTCCATGAGATCATACAGATTTTAGTTGATCAATTTACCACCACCAAATCAGATCAAATATTTTTTTTTGTTTCTTGTAGGGAATGATTGCCGCCTAGTTCCTTACCTCAGTCTCTTTTAAGTGCATTTTGCCTGCCCAGTGTCTTCTGCCACCGGAATGTTCAATTGTATATCAAATTTATGACTCAAACTGACATCACTCGCTGATGAGCAATCTGAACGTATCTTGGCACCTAAAAAAATAGTTATGATGATTCATAAAAACAATCTGTACATCATTTTATTGATACCCACATGGAGTCATTCATTTTGACAGTCCAGTGATCACATTCTCAAATATTTAGTCACAATATCCTTTTACCATCTCATATATTTACTCATAAATAACCTTACTTCACAATCACAATCCCATTCTGTCTCATCTCTGAACCTAAAGAAGGAGACGACGTCTTTTCTCTGAACCTGAAGAAGCACCAACTGATGCAGACTGCAGACTGCAGAACCGTCCTTGAATATTCCTCCTTCCATCCTCGCCTTGGTATTTCTTGAGATTAATCTACAAGCACCAGATGCATAAGAGCACGAATCACTTGACGAACCTGTAGAGTAGCGAGCCGCAACCATCACTTGGAGTCCAAGTGGGCTAGTCGTGATGAGAACCCAACGGCGCGAAGCACGGGATTATTTTCTGGGCCGTCTGATATGTTGGGCCGGCGTTAGAGCTAGGGAGCATCGAGTGCGAGCCGAAGCAGGGACGTACGATCCTCAGCGGACGGCGATCCGTCTCCGACTGCACTCTCAGGCTGGACTCCGCCGACTAAACCCTCGTCTCCTCCAGTCCTCTCCAGTCTCCCCACCTCCCGCCGCATCAGCAGCCATGGCGCGCCGCCACCTCGCCTACCCCCTCCACCTCCCGCTCCTCTCCCGCAATCCCGGCGCGCCCACACGCACGCTATGCGCCTCCTCATCCACCCACGAGGCCCCAGCCCCCGCCGTCGAGGCTCCGGCGGAGAAGCCGGCTGAGGCGGAGGCGGCGGCCCCCTCGCCGTCGATGCCCACAAACCCGCCCCGGCGCGAGGAGCCACTCCACGAGACGATCCTGGACATGATCCGGCGGCGTCCGTGGACGACGCGGCTGGAGAACTCGGTCCGCCTGCTCTCGCCCACGCTCGACGCGCCGCTGGTCCACGGCGTCATCTCCGGGGCGGCGTCCGCGGGGCGCGCCGACCTGGCCCTCCAGTTCTTCCGCTTCGCGTACCGCCGGGGCGGGTTCCGCCCGGAGGGCGGCACGTTCGCGCTGCTTGTGCCGGCGCTCGCGTCCCGCCGCATGCTCAACCACGCGCGCTGCCTCGTCCTCGACACCATGCCGTCTTTCTCCGTCGCGCCCGACGAGCCCACGCTCGCCGCGCTCATCGCCGCCTACGGCAGGGCCGCCATCCCGCAGGAGGCCGTCAAGCTGTTCCGGATGATGCCCGACCTCGGCGTCCCCCGCACGGCGCTCTGCTACAACGCCGTCCTCAAGGCCATACTCTGCCGCGGACGCGAGGCCATGGCCAGGCGGATCTACAACGCCATGATCGCGGACGGGGTGGCGCCCGACGTGTCCACCTACAACACGCTCATATGGGGGTTCGGCCTGTGCAAGAAGATGGAGACCGCAGTCAGGGTGTTTGGGGACATGAAGGGCCATGGGGTGACGCCTGATGTCACCACCTACAACGCCCTGCTGAATGCCTGGGTGCGCGCCGGTGATCTGGAGAGTGCGCGCAAGGTGTTTGATGAAATGGCTGGGGAGCGGATCCAGCGGAACTCGGTTTCGTACAATGTCATGATCAAGGGGTACGTGGAGGGCGATAGGGTGGACGAGGCAGTGGCTTTGTTCGCTGAGATGGGCGAGAAGGGTTTGAGGCTGAGTGAGAAGACGTTTGCTGCGTTGATGCCAGGGCTTTGCGATGACCAGGGCAGGGCAGCGGAGGCCCGGAAGGCAGTGGATGACATGGCGGAGCGGAGGCTCACGCCGAAGGACAAGTCGGTGTTTCTGAGGCTTGTGACGACACTGTGCAAGGCTGGGGACTTGGATGGGGCGCTGGAGGTGCACCGGAAGAGTGGACAGTTCAAGCATGTGCTGGTGGATCCAAGACAGTATGGAGTGCTGATGGAAGGCCTTTGCACAGGTGGCAAGTCCGAAATGGCTATTGAGGTGCTAGATGAGCTTATGGAGAAGGGCACCTTGCTGAGTCCAAAGAGTCCTGTGCTTGAAGCATCGGCTTATAACCCAGTGATCGAGTACCTGTGCAGCAATGGCAGCACCGCCAAGGCTGAGACATTCTTCAGGCAGCTGATGAAGAAAGGTGTGGATGACAAGGCTGCGTTCAACAGTCTTATCCGTGGACATGCAAAAGAAGGCGTGCCGGAGGCGGCGCAGGAGATTCTTGCCATTATGACACGCCGCGAGGTCCCAACTGACCCTGAATCACATGTGCTCCTAGTTGATAGCTTCCTGAAGAAGAATGAGCCCGCTGATGCAAAGACGGCATTGGACAGCATGATGCAACATGGTCACTTGCCAAGCCCAGCTCTGTTCAAGTCTGTCACGGAGGCACTGTTCAATGATGGTCGGGTTCAGACCGCAAGCAGGGTCATGAAGAGTATGATTGAGAAGGGGGTTACTGAGAACATGGACGTGGCACACAAGATACTGGAGGCTCTCTTCATGAGGGGCCATGTGGAGGAGGCAATCGGCCGTGTCAATCTGATGGTGGAAAATAGCTGTATGCCTGATCTAGATAAGTTGCTGGTTGGTCTTTGTGATAATGATAGAGTGATGGAGGCGCAGAAACTGGCTGATTTTGCGTTGGACAGGGACTTCGATGTTAGCTTCTCGACCTATGACAGAGTTCTGGAGGCCCTGTACGCTGAAGAAAAGACGTTGCCTGCGTACTCCATGCTGTGCAAGATCAAGAACAAAGGAGGTGTTGTCAGCCAGAAAGGTTGTGATGATTTGATGGAGAGCTTAAAATCTGAAGGATACTCAAAGCAAGCAGATATTTTGTCTAGGATCTTGGCAGAGAATGCACAGTCGATGTCCAAGAGGGGCAAAAGGGTTGCCATGGGTGCTTAGTGAGCTTTGCCAGCTTGTTGAGACCATCTGTTTTTCTTTTTTACTTGAGGAAAGATGTGATTTCTTTCTTTTCATCGATGCTTCTTGAGTTATTTGTCAAGTGGGATTTTCATCCTATGGGAAAGAAGCAGGGACATTTACTTTCTGTTTGGAGGATCCCTGATTTGTTCGTCTTAGTGAGAAGAAACATATGCAATAATAGGCAAAGATGTACCTCCTATTATGAGTTTTGTTGCGAAATTTAGCATTAATTACTTTTAACATACTGTACTTCCAATGATTTTTAGTGGATGTACCAATGGCTGTCCAGGAGTTTCTCTTTGCTTTTCGTTCTTGTGAAGCACTACTAATTCACACAACATATTTCTCAACATAAGCTTTTGGTGGCAGACTTTCGTTTTCAGGTAGCGTGACCGTAGGGATAAACAAGCTAAGATTGAAAGAACAAAGTGGTGGAAACTGAAAGGAGAGACATGAGAGGTATTCAGAGAAAGGGTTATCAAAGAGGGCTCTTGGAAGGAAGAAAATGACATAAACAATATGTGGGGAAGATGGCAACCAACATTCGAAGATGGCCTCAGAGGTGTGTGGAGTAACCAAAGGAAGTGGAGGCCAGGCTAAAGATACTTGGTGGGGAACGAGGAAGTCCAAAGAGCTATTAAGAAAAAGAAAGAATGCTATAGATGCTTGTACCATGACCAGTGGCGGAGGCACAGGGTATGCCAGGTATGCACTGGCATACCCTACGACAGTGGCGACTAAACTATTATATATACCTATAAGCATGTGTATTTGTAAAAAAAGAAAGAAAAAAACTTATCTGGAATCCTTGATCACGCCTCCAGCCCTCCACGAAAGGCCTACGTGAGGCGGCCCACTTGGCAAGTGCACGAAAGGACCAGGAAACGAACGCCCTGGTCACCCCACGCAGCAGTTACGCACATGCGCAGATTCAGACTGCCCGCGCCCCACGCGAGTAGCCAGACGCCGAGTAGGCGTAACTTTCCCGGTTCCCCTGATCTAAGCGGTCATGGCGTCGCCGGACTCCCTGACGGCCTGACGGGCAGAGGCAGAGACGCAGAATCGCAGAGATGTGGTGAGTATGATCTAATCTCTCGTGCTATTCGTCTTGTTTAGAAAAATATTGCCAACATCACAAATAATAAAATATTTAATTATCTAGCCTCATGTTTTTTTAATATTTGTGCAGTTATGAAGAGAAACTCGGATATTGCATCTCTTTTTGAAAAGCATGTAGCAAAGAAGGCGGCGGATGTTGCTGCAACTTCTAATAGTTGCTCTAATCCGGTTGAACCTGTGGTAGAAGAGCAGACTCGTGAGAGAGTAATTAAGAAAATTGTAAATCCAAAGCCACCACCACCGGTTTATGACATCGATTGCCTTCCACATGATCCAAGTGAAAGACGGTCCATTCTGAAATATCCTGTTAATGATCAAGATACAATTCGAAGAGCATATATTGCAGCTCAAGAGAGATACATTGGCTTTAAGAATCTCAAGGTATATTATTCTTGTATACACAAATGAGTTATTCGAGTGTTTGCAAAGAAGGGAGCAAGATATTCTTAATGTGATATCACTTGTTAATGTGGCAAAGAAAAAATGCAAGAATTGAGGTCTGATGGTTGGGATAATTTTCTTGAGAGGGTCACCTCATTTTGTGATAAACATGGTGTTGATGTTCCTGCTATGGATGGTGATTATGTTCCTTATGAAAATCAGCTAGGAAAGCTCGTGCCCGAAAGCAAACCAATGATGACCACTTCAGAAGAGAAGTATATATTGGTGTCATTGATCAAATAAGTCAAGAACTTAATAATCGGTTTGACGAGATTAATATGGAGTTGTTGTCTTGTATGGCGGCCTTCAATCCTTCTAATTCATTTGATTCTTTTGATGCACAAAAGCTACGCAGACTAGCTGAGTTCTACCCAATGGAGTTCTTAAATAATAATTTGCTCAAACTTGAATTGCAGCTGCATAATTATATTGATGACATGAGACAGAATAATAGCTTCAAAGGTCTAGAAAATATTGTTGATCTATCAGTTAAGCTTGTTGAAACAAAGAGGCACAAAGTGAATGATATGGTTTATGAACTTCTCAAATTGGTATTGCTTCTATCCGTGGCAACGACAAATGTTGAAAGGGTATTTTCTGCAATGGTTTTAGTGAAAACAAAGTTACGAAATAAGATGGTAGATAGTCTTTTGGATGATTGTCTCGTCACTTCCATTGAGCGGGATATTTTCTTTTTAAGTTGATGAAGATGATATAATCAAGACATTTATGTCCCTTCGAAAGCGCCGAATAAAATCGTCAGCAAAAAAACATTGTAAGTCTGGTACTCTATTATGCCTACATTTCAATTAGGTATGGCTTTTGAACTATTTATATTATATTTACTGGATGGTTTCAACTTAATCCATGAATTTGAGCCTTATTGTGTTACTTAGTGCATATATACCAAATTACGTTGTCAATTTTATAATTATTACTGAATTGGTAAAATAGATTTACCGAATTGTATATGAATTTTTTTGGATGGCATACCCTAAGTTAAAATCCTAGATTCGCCACTGACCATGACAGGAGTGTGGACAACATAGAGAAGTATAAGGTGGCAAAGAAGACTGCAAAGCGAGCTTTAAGTGTGGCAAATGGTAGAGCGTACGAGAATCTTTACCAACATTTGAGTACGAAGGAAGGAGAGAAGGACATTTATAGGATGGTTAGGGTTCGTGAGAGAAAGACAAGAGACTTTAACCAAGTTAAGTGCATTAAGAATGAAAGGGAGCATCTCTTGGTGAAGGAGGATGAGATCCGACATCGATGGCAAGAGTATTTTGACAAATTGTTCAATGATGAGAATACGAATACAACCTTTCAGTTGGATGACTCTTTTGATAACACCAATATGCGCTTTGTGCGGAGAATCCAAGAATCTGAGGTCAAAGAGGCGTTGAAAAGGATGAAAGGAGGTAAGACGATGGGACCGAATGGTATCTCAATCGAGGTATGGAGATGCCTTGGGGACATAGCTATAGTATGGCTAACCAAGCTGTTTAACCATATTTTTCGATTGAACAAGATGCCTGACGAGTGGAGGAGAAGTATATTGGTACCGATCTACAAGAATACAGGGGATATTCAAAGTTGTACTAATTATCGGGGAATTAAGTTGATGAGCCATACTATGAAGCTATGGGAGAGAGTTATCGAGCATCGCTTGAGAGCAATAACTCGGGTATCTATGAACCAATTTGGTTTCATGCCCGGAAGGTCAACCATGGAAGCTATTTTCTTAATAAGACAAGTTATGGAGCGGTGGTTTTTGTTGACTTGGAGAAGGCTTACGATAAAATACCAAGGAATGTTATGTAGTGGGCTTTGGACAAACATAAAGTCCCAACGAAGTACGTCGGACTCATTAAGGACATGTATAATAATGCCGTGACTAGTGTTCGAACAAGTGATGGAGACACGGATGACTTCCCGATTAGGATAGGACTACATCAAGGGTTAGCTTTGAGCCCTTATCTGTTTGCCTTAGTGATGGATGAGGTCACAAGAGACATATAAGGGGACATCCTTTGGTGTATGCTTTTCGCAGATGATGTAGTGCTAGTTGATGAAAGTCGGACAGGAGTGAATCAGAAACTGGAGTTATGGCGGGAGACTTTGGAGTCCAAAGGTTTTAGACTCAGTAGAACTAAAATTGAGTATATGAGATGTGACTTTGGCACTACTACTCGGGAGGAGGAAGATATTAGTTTGGAAGGTCAATTAGTGCCTAGGAATGATACTTTTCGATATTTAGGATCAATGCTACAGAGAGACGGGGATATTGATGAAGATGTTAGCCATAGAATCAAAGCAGGGTGGATAAAGTGGCGCCAAGCATCTGGTGTCTTATGTGACAAAAGGGTACCACAGAAGCTAAAAGACAAGTTTTATAGGACGTTGATTAGACCTGCTATGTTGTATGGTGCAGAATGTTGGCCTACGAAAAGACGACATGTTCAACAGATAAGTGTCGCGGAAATGCGTATGTTGCGTTGGATTTGCTGTCATACAAGAAGGGATCGAGTTCGGAACGATGATATACGTGATATATTAGGGGTAGCATCAATTGAAGAAAAGCTTGTCCAACACCGGTTGAGATGGTTTGGACATGTCCAACGGAGACCTCCAGAGACACCGATAGTGGAATCTTACCGGTGTAACGTGAGAGGAATGCTAAGCCTTGGGTAGGAATAAAAGGAGACTTGAAGATGAATATACTCAAAGACTTAGCCTTAGATAGGAGTGCTTGAAAACAGCTATTCAGACCCGAAATTGACTTGGGTAGAGGCAATAAAACCTACCCCAACTTGAGAAAGGCTGAAAGGATATATATATACTTCAAAGACTTAGCCTAGCTGTGTTTGATCGCAGATTGTATGCTAAGATGACAAATGATCGTGTCCTCAATGCAGTCTGATAATATTAGTCCTTTTTTTTCAGTTATCGGGGTTTCAATAAAAATTCACTGGTGTGTTCCTCTGTAGAGCCATGAATCAAATGATGTTTTTCCATTTCCTGACCCTTTTCTTTTCAGAGTTTGCACTGTTTGATTTACTTTGCAGGCTGCTTTAACTGACGGTTGTTGGTGATCTCAGTAATTTGATATGATTAGTAGTGTTAGTTCTCTTTGACCAGCATGCATCCTTGGATGTGGTGGTGCTGGTAAATGCAGTTATGTAACTTCTCTTGATATGCAGTTTGTCTGTAATATGCTTCGATGTGGTGGTGCTGGATCTGTGTGGTCTTCAGCAATCTTTTTGTGTTGATGCCTTTTGGTTCAAAACCTGTGGGGTAAGGTTCAGTTTAGTTCACTGGGTGCAATCTGACTCAGAGTTCCAGATATGCAGGAGGGTTTTGGGTGTCCGCAGACTGTTTGCTGTCTTTTTTCTTCTGGTTTTCAGACTCTTGTATTT